AATACCATAGAAAAATTGATGCATTTGAGTTATGGAGTTGGAGAAGAATATTTAAAGTGTCAGGGAGTGCCAGAAGAACTAACAAATCTGTGTTGGAAGAAGTACTCCTCAGAAGCCAGGATGGCCAGACTTCATCTCTCATACTTCGGACATACTATCAGGAGGGACCACTTGCTGGAGAAGGACATCAAACTTGGTAAATTGGAGGGTCGGTGAAAAGGAGGAAGACCCCCAACAAGATGGATTGGCACAGTGGCAGCAGCAATGGGCTCATGCTTAGCAACAATTGTAAGACTGAGGCAGGACCAGGCAGTGTTTCATTTTGTTGTGTATAAGGTTGCTGCTATGAGTCGGTATAGCAGCACCTAACAACAACAACAAATATGTATGTGTGTATATATATATATATATATATATATATATATATATATATATAATGGTGGTGGTGGTTGTGTGCTGTAGAGTCGGTTCAGACTCATGGCAACCTGGTATAGGATTTTTGAGGCTGTATATCTTTATGGGAGCAGAAAGCCTCATCTTCTTTTCCCTGTGGAATGACTGGTAGTTTCGAACTGCTGACCTTAAGGTTAGCAGCCTGACTTGTAACTACTACAAATATATATATATATATATATATATATATAGAGAGAGAGAGAGAGAGAGAGAGAGACAGAGAGAGAGAGAGAGACAGAGAGAGAGAGAGAGTCCTGGTATGGTTCTGTAGGATAAGCACTGGACTGCAAAGTCGATTTGAACTGCAAGGTTCAAACTTGCCAGCTACTCCTTCCTCAGAAACCCTATACAGGGTCTCTATGAGTTGGAACTGATTTAATGGCATTTAACAATTTAACAATGACAAATATATGTATATATAGCTGTATATATGTGTATATATATATAAATATATAAACACTATATATATATTGGCCTGCTTCCAATATATTGGACACTTGGGCAAAGCTCGCTGCTTTTTGCTAGATCTGGATCGTGTGTCTGACTCATCGTCTGACCTTGGGTTCTTTGGACTGATCTATTACATCTATTGATCGTGGAAGTCACCATCATCTTACTACCTGCTTGACCTGCCTGCCTAACATCTGACCTCTACAGCTATGTATACATATATTTGGACTGAAAGACAGTCCAAGTGTAGAACTACTTGTCATAATAATAATAAACCTTTACTGTGTGCCTGGTGTGGCACTGTGGGCTACTGCTCTGGACTGCAGAGTTGGTTGAACTGCACAGTGCGGGTCAAGCTCACCAGCTGCTCCTTGGAAACCCTATACAGGGTCTCTGTGAGTTGGAACCAACTTGACGGCACTTAACAACAACAGCAACGATGTGCCAGGCATTGTTCCAAGCTCTTTTTATATATTAACCCATTTAACACATATAACCTCCAAGGAGATTATTGTTATTCCCATCATACAAATGAGGAAATAAAAGAATGAATCACACAGCTAGCAAGTATTAAAGCCAGGATTGAATTCCAAAAACGAAAGGAGAACACCAGAATGGGTCTCCACCAGAACCATCCCTCTTTAAGTGGGGACTTTTCCTTATTTGTTGACCCAAACACTAAACATTCCAACAAAGATCACATCTTTTGTGCTAGGTTTTGTCAAAGAATTCTGCAGAAGCCAAAAAAAGGAAATAGTAGAAAGGACTAAATACATAGAAAGATTTATATCTACTTGGAACTCTACTCTTACTCCCTCCAGCATTATAGTTCTTATTTTTATAGATAATAAAGAATCGCTCCCTATGTTAGCCATGGTGGTGGTGGTGGTGGTGGTAGTTATATGCCATGGATTTGGTTCCGACTCATAGTGACCCTGTATGGGGTTTTCGAGGCTGTCAATCTTTACGGGAGCATAAACCTCATCTTACTTCCATGGGACAGCTGATAGTTTTGGAACTGCTGACCTTGAGGTTAGCAGCCTGCCTCGTAACCACTCCATAGGGACTATGATAGTTAAGGTTTTATATTAGGATTCTCAGTGGTTTGGCAGTTAAGACATAATAATCCCCCATGATGAGCCAGAAGCCCTCTCTTGCTTCTTGTGTTTCTGACATCCCTGTGTCAGCCTAGAATGAGCAACTGCTGTGAAATATTTTATCAAACATTGTTTGAATGCACCACACCTTCACAGAGTATTGGAACTATGATAGTTAAGGTTTTGTGTAAACTTGACTGAGCCAGAATTCTTGGTGGTTTGGCAATTAATATGCAGTGATCTCCTTGATGAAATCTGCTAGGAAGAGCCAATCTATTGAAAGGATGTTTCCTTGGGGGTGGGGGGTGGGGGGTGGCCTGCTTCCAACATATTAGACACTCGGGCAAAGCTTGCTGCTTTTTGCTAGATCTGGATCGTGCGTCTGACTGACTCATCATCTGACTTTGGGTGTTTTGGACTGCTCTATTGCCTGCTGATCTTAGAAGTCATCATCAGCTTACCTGTTCGACCTGCCTGCCTGCCATGTGACCTGCTGAGCTTGGTTCATCAACCCCTGACACTACATGAGTCCACAGACTTAGAACTTTCCCACCTCGACAACTGTGTGAACCATTCATTGCCTTGATACAAACCTCTCTCTCTATATATAAATATATAAATGTCACTCACCTTGTTTCTCTAGAGAACCCAGCCTAAGGCAGGTGCCTCAAGTAGGTCTAGATCATATGTGCTGCCTCAGTTCACTGTGACATTTTCATCTAAAACTAACATCTCATAGTGGCTAACTGTAGCAACCACCAAGCTGTCAAAGTCAAATTTAAACTGAAGCCTAAAATCTTTCTCCACGGCCACCAGCACCCCCGGCACACACCGAACTCAAAGTTTTTCCCAGGAGACCATTTATTTTCCCTTTGAGTCCTTCAAGAAAGGAGGCTGTGTCTTTGGAATAATACATGGTTACATGAAAAAAATACAAATCGCAAATTAGGTCTACTGAAATGTTGTTCATTGCAGTCACGTCGGCTCTGACTGTTGTCTGCCTCATGTATAACAGAATGAAATATTGTCTGATCTTGCCACATCTTCATGATCTTTGGTGTGTCTGAACCCATTGTCATGGCTACGTGTCAATCCACCGCATTCAGGGTTTCCCTAGTTTTCGTTGGCCTTCTACTTTACCCACATAGTCCCTGGGTGATGCAAACAATTTGTGCTCAACTGCTAACCTGAATCTTGGCTGTTCAAACCAATCCAGTACAACCATGGAAGTAAGACCTAGCGATCTGCTTCTATAAAGAGTGCAGCCAAGAAAACCCTGTGGGCTGTTTCTATTCTGCATACATGGTCACCATGAGTTGAAATTGACCTGTTAGCAACAGGTTTGGCTTAACTTTCCTACTTAACCACACATGAGGTCGTTTTTTCCAGTGATTGGTCTTTTTGGGTGATGATGTGTCCAAAGGAAATGAGTTGAAGTTTCATCATCATCCTTACTTCTAAGGAACATTCTAGTTGTATATATGTCAGGTAGGAGTAATAAGCCTTTTTCATCTTCAGGAGTGTTAACACTGTTCCTTTTGCTGCTACTTACCCAATCTCCAGAGTGCACAAGACAGCTTGCCAAGCGCTTAAAACTTTCGTATGTAAAGCTCCTGTTACCGTTTGTGATCTGAAATGAATTGTCCTCAGGGGTTAGTCATCTTTCATTGATATGATAGAACAACTAGAGCTGAGGAAGATGAATACAGACTTGAGAAGCAAAGGTGGCTCTTAGATTGCCTTCTTATTGCTCTGGAAAGTCTAAGATTAGGATCCACTGCCTCCCTCCATGGCCCACCTCCACCTCTCCTCACGCCTACCTCACAGGCAGTCATGATGTGATAGTATCTTAATAGCTTCTGGAAATGCAATCTTATTTTTACAACAGAGCAGCACCAAAACAGAAAATACCAAAATACCTTGCAGTAGCAGTTCTGAATAAGTAGATACTGCATGATTTAAGTTTAGAAAAGGTATACGCCATTTCACCATACCTCTTCAATCTCTATGCTGGGCATATAATCCAAGAAACTGGATTGTATGAAGAAGAACGTGGTATCAGGATTGGAGGAAGACTCATCAACAGTCTGTTGATATGCAGCTAACCTTGCTTGCTGAAAGTGAAGAGAATTTGAAGCACTTACTGATGAAGATCAAAAATGATAGCCTTCAATATGAATTAAAGTTTAGCATAAAAAAATAAAAATCCTCAAAACTGGACTAATAAGGAGCTACCATGAAAGCAGAAGTCAAGAAATGAAATGATATATTGCACTGGGCAAATCTACTGCAAAAGACATCTTTAAAGTGTTCCAAAACAAAGATGTTACTTTGAGGACTGAGATAGTCTTGACCATGGTATTTCCAACTGCTTCATATGCATGAGAAAGCTGGAAAATGGATAAGAAAGACCAAAGAAAAACTGATGCCTTTGAATTATGTTGGCAAAGAATATTGAATATACCGTGATTGCCAAAAAAAAACCAAACAAACAAATCTGTGTTGGAAGAGCTACAGCCAGAATGCTTCTCAGAAACAAGATGGTAAGACTTCGTTTCATGTACTTTGAAAATGTTATCAGGATGGACCAGTCATGCTTCTGTGAAGATGATAGCCTTGGAAACAAAGGACACCATGCTTGGTATAAGGTAAAGAGACCGTGAAAAAGAGGAAACCCCTCAACAAGATGAATTGACGTCGTGGCTGCAACAAAGAGAGCAAACTTAGGGATGACAGTGAGGATGGCATGGGACCAGGCAGTGTTTCATTCTGTTGTACATAGAGTTGCTGTGGCCATGAGTCAGAATGTTCAGCAACAGAAAGTTTGTTGGAGGTTTCTGAATAACTCTTCCTAGTCCCAAGCTTGTTTATTGCTTGGAGTCCTGCAGGATAAGGACTGAGAAATTAAGTGTAAAGAAAAATAACATTGTGTATAAACATAGGGACGTCCCATCTCTGTGCTGTGCCTCATGAAGCTATTGTTCTTTTCATCTCCCGCAGCCATCAAGTTCTTTGGAGACGTTCTTTGATTCCCTTGTGACTCAAGCAAAGATCCCCAACGTGTTCTCCATGCAGATGTGTGGAGCGGGACTGCCAGTGGCTGGATCTGGTACCAACGGAGGTAGTCTTGTGGGTATCTTTTAGTCTTAAAGGGGAGAAAAACCAGAAATTGTTGGGATTGTTTTGTTTTATTTCTTCTGTTTTATTAAGAACCAGGCACATAGGTTTGCATATGTATTGTGAATATTTGATAATCTTTGTTATAGAACCTTTAAGAGCATTTTTTTATTAAAAAGTTGGGTATTATTTTATCCTTCCAGATCATATACTGCCATCCAGAAAGATAATTCTCATTCCTTCCCCCAAATTCCATTATAGCCATTGTGTGTTGTCTTTTGAAATGGAACTATGTTCTATGGGTGAGGGGAGGGAGGAGTATGGGATCCAAAGGTAGATCTTAACTCTGGGTAGGGAAGGTGTAGTGAGTGTCCGGTACATCAGTGCATCTTTTCTGTCTCAACACACACACGTGCACATAACACACAGTGAAAGGGTTGTCTGTTGAGGCACCATGAATGAGCTTCCCTCATTTGATAAAATAGGAGGGTGGTGTCTCTCTGGTTTAGGGTGGGCACTTCAGACTACTTTTGTCCCCAAAACTGACAGGCAGAACCAAGACCTTGTTTCCTGGCAGCTTTCCTTTGCTCACAACATACCTGCTCTTAACACTTTTTAATCTCCCTTTGAAGGGGAGACTGTAGCTTAGGAATTGTAGAGTTAACACTAATGGTTTTGCAAAATAATCAGTTGGACTTTCTTTAGATAAAAGAAACAACCAAAGGATCATGGGTATTCCAAGGCATGATATTGTTTGACCTTTGGGCACATGGCCCCAGAATGTTCCTTGTTTAATTTTCAGGGTTATAATTGAATTTGTTTCAGAGCATCACAACAAAGTAAAATTTTACTGATCGCTGTGGAGTGTCATCTTCATGCATGGGAGTGCATGCTTCCCTGGGTAACCTGATGATTTATCTGTGTATTTTTCTCACGTATGTATATAAATATTTTTTTCTTCCCAGATCTTGGGTGGAATTGAACCAAGTCTGTACAAAGGAGACATCTGGTATACACCTATTAAGGAGGAATGGTACTACCAGATAGAAATTGTGAAATTGGAAATTGGAGGCCAGAGCCTTAATCTGGATTGCAGAGAGGTGTGTACACAGTGATCTCTGATGTGTCTGACTGTCTGTGTGTGCCTGAGTCATGTAAATACATTTACAGATCGGCCCTGTAAATGAATGAAAAATTATCCTGTCACAGAAGTAGTACATTTGAATGGTAAGAGTAAAGTTGTATGAAGACCTGCTCCCCCAAAAGAAAAAAGCTTCCTTCTAATCATTAGCTTTTATAGCACAAATTAGCATAAACTAGTTAATGAGAAGGAGTCCTGGTGTGGCGCTGCAGGTTAATGTACTGGACTACATACAAAGACAGTTTGGACTGCAAGGTCAGTGGTTCAAGATCACCAACTGCTCCTTGGGAACCCTATACAGGGTCGCTATGGGTCGGAATCGACTCAACGGCACTTAACAACAAATAATGAGAAAGACTCTCTGGAACTAGGAAGCTCTGGTGGTACAACTTAGCTGCTAACCAGAAGGTGGCTGGTTTGAACCCATCAGCCACTCCGTGGGAGAAAGATGTGGCAATCTGCTTCCATAATGATTACAGCTCTGTGACCCTTGTGGGACAGTTCTGTGGGCCAAAAACTGAATGATGCAGAACGCAGCAAAAGAAGATGGAAGGAATACACAAACAGTGTACCAAAAAGAAATGGTCAGTGCTCAACCATTTCAAGAGGTAGCGTATGATGAAGACCAATAATATTGAAGGAAGAAATCTAAGCTGCACTGAAGACAGTCGCAAAAAACAAGGCTCCAGGAATTGATGGAATACAAGTTGAAATATTTGAGCAAGCTGTTACAGCAAAAGTCATTGTTCACTCATCTATGCCAAGAAATTTGGAAGAAAACTACCTGGCCATTCCAAAGAGAGGTGATCAAAAAGAATGTGGAAATCATCGAACCATATCATTAATATTACATGCAAGTAAATTTGTGCTGAAGGTAATTAAAAAATAGACGCAGCTGTACATTGACAGTGACCTGCCAAAAATTCAAGCTGGATTCAGAAGAAGACATGGAATGAGGGATATCATTGCTAAGTCCGATGGATCTTGGCTAAAAGCAAAGAATACCAAAAAAGATATTTACCTGTGCTTTATTGACTAAGCAAAGGCTTTCAACTGTGTGGATCATGAAAAACACTGGATAATGATAGGAAGAATGCATATTCCAGAAAATTTAACTTGTGCTCATGAGGAACCTGTACATAGACCAAGAGGCAGTGTTTGAACAGAACAAGGAGATACTGAATGATTTAAAATTAAGAAAGGTGTATGCCAGGGTTGTATCCTTTCACCGTACATATTCAATCTGTATCCTGAGCACATAATCTGTGAAGCGGGACTATATGAAGAAGTACATGGCATTAGGATCAGAAGAAGACTCATTAACAACTGTGATAAATAACAAAACTGTCTGCAGGATGCAAAGAGGACAGGAACTATTTACTGCTGAAGATCTAAGACCACAGTCTACAGTATAGATCTCAACCTCAGTGTAAAGAAAACAGAAATCCTCACCATGGATCAGTAAATACCAATAAGATAAATGGAGAAAAGATTAAATTTTCCAGAGACTTCATTTTGCATTCAACACTCATGGAAGCAGCAGTCAAGAAATCAAATGATGTGATGCATTAGGCACATCTACTGCAAAAGGTGTCTTTAAAGTATTAAGAGCAAAGATGTCAGTTTGAAGACTAAGGCACGCCTGACCAAATCCATGGTATTTTCAGTTACCACATACATATGCATGTGAAAGTTGGATAATGAGTAAGAAAGACCATAGAAGAATGGATGCATTTGAATTATGGTGTTGGCAAAGAACTTTAAAAGTACCATGGGCTTCCAGAATAAACAAACAAAGAAAAAAATCTGTCTTGGAAGAAGTAAAGCAGAATGGACTTAGAAGCCAGAATGAGGAAACGTCCCCTTTCATACTTCAGACATGTTATCAAGTGGGACCAGTCTATGGAGAAGGACATCATGCTTGGTAAAGTGGAAGGTCAGTGAAAAAGAGGAAGACCCTCAACAACATGGATTGGCATAGTGGCAGCAGCTGTGGTCTCAAATGTAACAATTGTGAGGCTAGCACAGAACCAGGTAGTGTTTTGTTCTGCTGTACATATGATTGTTATGAGTCAAAACTGACTTGCCAGCACCTGGGGCAGTTCTACTCTGTTGTGTGGGGTTACTCTGAACCATATCAACTTGACGGTATAAAATAGCAGCAATAATGAGCTATACCATTCATTCATCTTCGTGTTGAACATCTCCATTTTACCAAGAATGATTTAAACTCAAGAAAGGTATGTGTCAGGGTTGTACCCTTTCACCGTACTTATTCATGCTCATGGTGAGCAAATAATTTAAGAAACTGGTTTATATGAATAAGAATGCGGCATCAGGAATGAAAGAAAACTCATTAACAACCTGCAATATGCAGACGATATAACCTTGCTGGCTGGAAGTGAAGAGGACTTGAAATACTTACAGATGACGATCAAGACTACAGCCTTCAGTATGGGTTGCACCTCCATGTAAATAAAACAAAATTACTCACAGTGGGACCAATATATAACAGCTTAATAAATGGAGAGAAGATTGAAGTTTTCAAAGATTTCATTTTGCTTGGATCCACAATCAGCACTCATGGAAGCAGCAGGCAAGAAATCAAATGACATATTGCATCAGGCAAATCTGCTGCACAAGACCTCTTTAAAGTGCTCAGGAACAAAGATGTCAGTTTGAGGACTAAGAGGCGCCTGACCCAACCACTGTATTTTCAGTTACCTCATACACATACAGAAGCTAGATAGTGAATCAGACTGGGGGAAGAATCAATACATTTGAATTGTAATATTGGGGAAGAATGTTAAAATTACCATGGACTGCCAGAAGAACAGACGTTCTGTTTTGAAAGATGTCTGGCCAGATTGCTCCTTTAAAGCTAGGATGGTGAGATTTCATGTCCTGTATGTTGGACATGTTGTCAGGAAGGACCAACCCCTGAAGAAGAACATCATGTTTGGTTAAGTAGAGAATCAGAAAAAGAGGAAGACCCCAAATGACGTGGATCGACACAGTGGTTGCCACAGTGGGCTCAAACTTAACAATTGTGAGGATGATGTTCTTTATGCAGAGGTCTCAGTGAGTCGGAGTAGACTCGACTAGCACCTAACAACAACCACCGCCAAGTAGGGGTGAAAGCTCTGTGTTGGGGGGATGGGAGGACTTCATTTTAGTCATGCCATTTTCCTTCCTGGACTTGTTTTCTTATCTGGGAAATAAGAATGTTGAGCTAGCTGATCCCTGATCCTCTCATCCCTAGAGCATTAAATGGGGCTGTGCCTTGGTTTGTGTACCAGCTCCACAGAGATAATGGTGGGTGGGAGGAGCGCTCTGTGCCATGGAGTGCCATTTGTGCTCACAAGCCTTCTTCTGCCCCTTCTCACCTGTTCCTAGTATAATGCAGACAAGGCCATTGTGGACAGTGGGACCACACTCCTGAGGCTGCCCCAGAAGGTGTTTGACGCAGTGGTGGAGGCCGTGGCCCGTGCCTCTCTGGTGAGTCCTCAGAAAGCTGATGTGTCTTCGAGAACACCCAGTTGTGACCACATGTTGGGGAGTGGTTCCGTCTGTCTAAAAGTTTCCATCTAACAGTTGTTTTTATCTGTTGTGTTTTTATCTGTTGTTAAGTGTCGTCCAGTCAGTTTGAATGCATAGCAACCCTGTATAGGGTTTCCTAGGCTCAGCTGGTGGGTTTGAACCACCGACCTTGCAGTTAGAAGTCCAGTGTTTATCCTACAGTGCCAATTATTAAATTATTATTTATTCACTCTCTGCTGCTCATCAGCAAACAGTCCCTTTCTTGGAACTTCACAGGACTTGGATTGGAGTGTACAGTGCCATTAGTATTTCAAAAAACACTTTCATTAGTGGTTTGTTGGTTTTTTGTCTCAGAACAAAAACACTCGATAATATACCTGGGTTGTACAATCAGTTCATGCTCTTATCTGCTAACTGAAAGGCTACAGGCTCAAGCCTACCCAGAGACACCTCAGAAGAAAGGTCTGGTGATTTACTTTTGAAAAATCAGCCATTGAAATCTATGGAGCAGAGTTTTTCTCTGACAGACATGGATTGCCATGGGTTGGACTCAACTCCAGAGCAAATTTTGTTTTTTTTTTAATAAAACTATAAATTGTAAAGAAGTCCAGGGAGTATAATAGTTAAGTGCTTGATGGTAAATGAAAGGTTAGTGTTGTCAGCTATCCCAGTGAGACTTCATGGGTGGGGGAACCTTCTGGAACTTGAAAGCACCTAACTAACAACAATGTAAATAGCAAATCAGGAGTAAGCTTACAGTCTCCAAAAGAAAACAAACCAAAAATCCTACTCCTCTTTGGTCTTTATCTAAGCTGTACTGCAATTGAACTCTTACTTTTTTGTAAAAAATGTGATTGCCCCTTCAGAAGGCAAAGGTCAAATAGCCAATCTAATTGTTATTTATGGCCATGTTTTGAAATACAATTTAAAATTCTGGTAGACTACAGCATGTCTTTAGAGACTTGACTGATGGTATTCCCAGTGTGACCCCCAACTGTTCGTTGATTTTAGGAAGGCAGAGTGGGCCAAAAGCCTTGGGGAAGACAGATTTGGGGACTGGATGGGATCACACCTACTTTAGTTTCTGGCATTTATTAGCTGAGCACCTGGAAGGGGACTCTGTACCCTCTGAGAGCCTGTACAGGGTTTTGTAAGGGTTGGGTAAAGTGCCCAACATAGTAAGTACTCAGCAAAGACAAGCTCTGTTTAAGGGCAAAACCATGGTGTCAGTGCGATTTATGTGGTTAACTGACAAATGTTGCATTGGGCTTCTGGAGTATTTGCAAGAGGTCCCAAACTGTTTGTTTCCTGAACAAAGCGTTTATCTGGACTGAAAGGAGCAGTGGTGATGCCGTGGTTAAAGCTGCTAACAGATGTTTTGTCAATTCAAACCCACCAGCCGCTCTGCAGGAGAAAGATGTGGCATTCTGCTTCCATAAAGATTCCCACTGCCATCGAGTCAATTCTAACTCAGAGTGACCCTATAGGACAGGGTAGAACTATTTCACAGGATTTCCTACACGAAATCTGTACTGGAGCAGATAGCCTCATCTTTTTCCCCCTGCAGAGGGTGGTGGGTTTGAATCCCTCCCCTTGTGGTTAGGAAATCAACACTTAACCCAACGTGCCACTTACACAATCTTCTTCCTTAAAGATTTATTGTTATCATTGTCGTTTAGTGCCATTCCAACTCATCGTGACCCTGTATAGGGTTTCCAAGGAGCGGCTGGTGAGTTTCAACCATTGACTTTGTAGTTCAAACTGACCTTGTGGTTGAGTGCTTATCGTACAGTACCACACAGCCTTAGAAATTCTATGGGGCAGTTCCTACTCTATCACTATGAGTCGGAATGGGTCACATGCGCTGAGGGGACAGTAGGGATTGATCCTCATCATCCATGCGTGAGACCCTATGCAATTCCTGGCTAGTTTAGCTCCTGCATAGCCACTGCCCATCTACAGGGGGAGACGTGAGTGTTGCTATGATGCTGAACAGGTTTCAGAGGAGCTTCCAGATGCAGACAGACAAGGAAGAAAGGCCTGGCAATATACTTCTGGAAATCAGCCAATGGACACACTGTGGATCACCGTGGTCAGGCCTCTCAGCCACTCATGACCCAGCAACGTTTCATTTCATTGTGTATGGGGTCACTCTGAGTCAGGCGCCAACTCAATGGCAACTAACCACAAAAACCACACGGGTAGATTGTTCCACCACTCTGTGGGACAATTGGGCTGCCTTCCAAAGACAATTGATAGGAAGCTTCCACAGCTGTTGCTTGTTCCAGGCCATCACCAGATGTCAGAAACACAGGAACAGGAAATAAGAGAGGGCTTTTGGTATCCTGAACCACAACTTCCCAAGTCTTTTAAACTTCTGTGGCAAGAGGAACCAGCAAAGCAGAGAACATCGAAAGGAAAAAAAAAAAAACACAAGAGGCTGTTGCTGAACCAGAAGGGTTTACAAGGCAATAGCCCAGAGCAGCTGCAGTCAAAACCCAAAGCAGAGATCTATTTTTTTAGTATCTGCTGAAACAGAAAACACAGCAGATAAGTTGTGTTAGTGCCTTAGATTTCGAATCATAGGAAGCCTACAGGACAAAGTAGAATTGCCCCATAGAGTTTCCTAAGTTGTTATCTTTATGGAAACAGATCACGAGGTGATATGTGAGTTCAAACCACGGATCACAGGGTCGCTCTGAATCTAAACCTACTTGAAGATGTACAATAACAACAAATCTAAATGCTTGCTGAAAATCAGAACAAGCGAAGAATAAGAACCAATGTGCTGATTTCCTAAATAGTAAAACTATTCTCTGCTAAATCAGCTTGAGCATTTTCAAATTTAACTAAGTTATAAATTCCTGTTACTGTCCCAAGGACATGAATGGGACTAGCGGTTGGCTACACCTCAGATTTATGCCTTGCTTAGTGAACTCAGTACCTCCTAGGATCCCTAAGAAAGCAGGGCTGTGAGGGGCAGACACTCATTCACACTTCTGAGTTCATTGAAGCATGTGTTTCAGCAGTGACTATTACTTTGTAAGAAAGCCAGGAGGTAGCTAGAATGAGATGACGAAATTTGTTTGCCTTGTCTAAAATTATACCCTGATTTCAGCGCTACCTGAGTCAGGCAGGAGAAACTTGGATAGGTGCTTTGTTTTGGGTGGGGACGGTTCAACAAGGGTGTATTGTCTGTCTTAAATATTGACCAAGGAAGTGTTTGTTCTTTTTATCTGCTAGGTTTATCTAAGAGGTCTGTTCTGTTTGGGTTTTCTTTCAAGCTAAGGGATTGGCTTCAGGAAGTAAAAATGAAAAAAGCAAAACAAAACAGAAATCTGCCATTGAGTTTCTATGTAGGATTTCCAGCAAAGTCTAGCTTCTCTGTCTCCTGCAGAGTGGCTGGTGGGTTTGAACTCTCAACCTAGTTTGGTTCTGGCTTTTGGCTTGGATTGTACAGATGGGCTTTTAGAAATTAATTTTTTATATAGTGGAATCCTGGTGTGGCATTGTAGGATCAGCACTGTACTGCTATCCATAAGGTTGATAGTTCAAACCCACCAGCCACTCCTTAGAAACTCTATACAATTTTGCTGTGAGTTGGAAGCGACTCAACAGCACTGCTATCACCACCATCATTAGTGGTATCGGAAGTTCCAGTCCTTAGGTGGCACAAACAGTTAAGCATTTGACTGGTAATCAGAATGTTGATGATTCACACCCACTCAAAAGTGCCTTAGGAAAGAGGCCTTGCAATCTGGTTCTGAGAGATCGATTCTAGACAGGGGAGCCCACACATGCTCTGTGCAGGATGGAATTTTGGGGCTTGTTGAATTTAGAAATAAGGTCATGCTTGAAAGGGCCTACAGACCACATTTAGAATTTGCTCTCTAAGAGCCACTGCCCACACCTGTGTGACTTTGGGCACGTTATCTCACCTCTTTGTGCCTTAGTTTCCTCATCCATAGAGTGGAGTGATGATACAACTGCACCAATGAGGGTGTCGTGAGGTTTAAAGGAATGATTGCATATAGAATGCTCTGAACACTACTGAGCCCTGGTGTGGCACAGTAGGATAAGCACTAGATTGCTAACTGAAAGGCTGGTGGTTCAATCTCACCAGCCACTCCTCAGAAACCCTATACAGCATTGCTATGAGTTGGAACCAACTCCATAGCACTTAAGAACAATACTAGTAAGTGCTCAGCATGTACTTACCATTTCAATAATGATGATTGTGTTATTGCCACCTCTTCCAGAGCAATGATATCTCCGCGACTCTGTCCAAATGAAACATTGTTTAGCCCCGTGGGCGTCTGGCGAGGCCACTCAGAGAACACGGAGCTCTTCTATGCTGATATGTCAGACTAGTCATTGTTTTTCCCATGATCTTATTTTGTCTAGATTCCAGAATTCTCTGACGGCTTCTGGACAGGGTCCCAGCTGGCTTGCTGGACTAATTCTGAGACACCTTGGTCTTACTTCCCTAAAATTTCCATCTACCTGAGAGACGAGAACTCCAGCAGGTCATTCCGCATTACTATCTTGCCTCAGGTATGGACTTAAAATTTTACTCTTTTCTCTTAGATATGATTGCAAAAGTATAGATTTCCATGCATAACAAATCTATTAGCTATCACACTACTGTTAGATGTCTACTATTACTACCATTATGCTGGGTAACCAACAACTACAAGACTCTGTAGCCTAAAACAATAAGCTCTCATGATGCTCAGGAGTCTAAGCCAATGGGTAGGTTGGCTGGACTTGGCTGATCTCAACTGGGCTTGCCCATGGGCTTGTGGAAAGCTGACAGTTACCAGAGTGGCATGGGTACTATGCTAGGTGTTAAGACTACAATGGGGATAGATAACAGATCTCTGTTTTTAGGGTACTTTGTTTCTATTATAGGAATCACACCAGTTAATGTAAAATTGTAGCTGTGGTTAAAAAAGGTGCTGAGAAGGAAAGATACATGGAAGTCTAGTAGCATTCTGGGGGGTAATTAGGGAGGGCTTCCTGGACCAGGTGGCATTTAAATTGAAGTCTGGAGGACTTGATCTAGGCTGGCCATATATATTTGGCATCTGGGACAATGGGGTTGCTGGACTGTATCTCTCACCATCCAGCTAGTGACCATGTAGTTGTGTCAGGGTTCCAGGAGAGAGATGCACACAAGGGCTCTAGAAGTCTAGACTCAGAACCGCCACCCTCATTTCCACTGTGTGGGCTGAATGTCCAAGATCAGCTCAGATCCTAGGCAGGAAGAAACTCCTCTTCTTAATGACAAGAGCTGCAAAGTCATATCATAAATAGCAGCTACATGGGAAGGTGAAGGACTACCACAGTACCTTATGTTTTCTCCCTGTTTATTTATAAATAAAGGTGCCCTGGTGCTACACTATTAAGCATTAGATTGCTAACTGAAAGGTTGATCGTTCAAACCCACCAGCCACTGTACAGAAGAAAGATGTGGCAACCTCCTCTGTAAAGATTGTTGATGTAAGACATCATCAAGTTAAACAAAACACCTCCCGGTCTGCCCCCATCCTCACTAAAGCTTATTTTCTGCTGCCACTGTGCCAGTCCATCTTGTCGGGGGTCTCCTTCTTTTTTGCTGACCTTCTACTTTGCCAAACATGATGTCCTTCTCTAAGGACAGTCTCTCCTGATAATATGTCCAGAGTATGAGAGATAAAGTCTTACCATCCTGGCTTCTAAAGAGCATACTGACTCTACGCCTACTAAGATAGATTTGTTAATCCTTTTGGCAGTCCGTGGTACTTTCAATATTCTAATTCATGGATTCTTCTTCTACTGTTTTCCTTATTCATTGTCCAATTTTCATATGTATATGAGGCTACTGAAAATATGATGACTTGGGTCAGGCACTCTTGAACACTTGAAAGAGGTCTAGTTCAGCAGATTTCTCAGTGCAGTTTGTCATTTAATTTCTTGACTGCGACTTCCATGAGTGTTGATAGTGGGATTCAAGCAAAGTGAAGTCTTTGACCACCTCAACCTTTTCTCCATTTGTTATTGTTAAGTGCAGTCAAGTCTTTTCAGACTCATAGCAACACTGTGAAAGGTTTCCTAGGAGCGGCTGGTGAGTTTGAACCACTGACCTTGTGGCTCAAACTGACCTTATGGTCGAGTTCTAATCTTACAGTGCCACACCAGGACTCCGAAAGAACATAGTACGTATGTTACATATGAGTTACATATTACATACATAGTTCAGTTTGCAAAAAAAATTTCAGGATCTTTTCATTCCATTTTCAATGAACATTTGAAGCCCCCTTGTATATATGACCTCATTTATTATGCAAACCAAAAAAAAAAGGGGGAAGCCTCTATTTATATGTATTTATAAATTCACAGAAAAAGCTCTATGAAATAACAATGTTCCCTTCAAGAATGGATCAGGAAACTGACTTCTTTTTGTTTTAGTAATATTGTTGGAGTATTTTACAGCAGCATTATACAAGACAGCTTCAAAAAGTTCTTAGAAAAAATTCCATTATCTTTCCATCCCATGTCTCTACAAACTTTCTGAAGCTCCCTGATATTGATTTTTAACAGTCTAAAAATAGTTTTTCTTTTCTTTTTCTAAAATAGTAGAATGTTTATCCTGATACTATTTATTGGTCCTAGTGGTAAGGATTTTTGTTTTCTTTATGCTGAGGTGTAATCCATACTGAAGGCTATCTATAAAAATAAAGCCTTGGAAACCCTATGGGACAATTCTGTTCTGTCCTTATAGGGTCAATTAAGAGTTGTCATCAACTAGATGACAGTGTGTTTTTATTTATAAAGAATAAAACCAGACAGGACTTCTGGTGTGGCGCTGTAGGACCAGCACTAGACTGCTAATCACAAGTTTGGCCCTTCAAACCCACTAGTTGTTCCTTGGAAACCCTATACAGGGTCGCTATGAGTTAGAACCGACTTAATGGCACATAACAACACAGCAACAAGCCACACATGAAGACACCATTTTTCCCTATAATTTAGGAGACCACTTGCTCCTGTTTTGCTCTGAGTATGTTATTAAATGAACCTTGTTCTGTCTTCCCTATTACTCATGTCTTTCTGTTCCTCACCAGTCCATCCCCTGCTCTAGTCTGCCTCTACCACTTCCCCAGTAACCTCCAGAGGACTCTCTCTAACATCTCAGTGTGCCCCAGCTCACTTTTTTATAAAACTATTCCTGGGTTTGTTGGGGGTACTTCTGTGAGTGCCCACAATTTAAATACTGGCAGCAGCATTCCCTGATGGGGACAGTGGTGATTCAGTGGTAGAATCCTCCCTTCTGTGCAGCTGGTTGGTTGGTGGTGGTGTACCGTAGAGTTGGTTCCAACTCACAGAGACCCTGTATAACATTTCTGAAACTGTCAATCTTTATGGGAGCAGAAAGCCTCATTTTTGTCTCATGGAGCTGCTGGTAGATTCAAACTGCTGAACTTGCGGTTAGCAGCCCGTTTCGTAATCCACTTCAGTTCCTGTTCAGTGTACGTCACGCATAGCCAGCACATCTGTCGGAGACGATGTGTTGCTATGATGTTGAATAGGTTTCAGTAGAGATCTCAGGATAAGAGAAGCTAAGAAGAAAGGCCTGGTGACTTACTTCTAAGTATCTTCTGTAAATGGTGGAAACGAGGGTGGCAGCCTATGGAGTGGTGTAATCCATAACTGCCGTGGGGGTGGAGCAGGACTGGTAGCATCTTACTCCGTTCTGTATGGGAAGCCAACAACAGCAACACACTCCCCTACATGGTTCCGAAGAATAACTGCTCCTGGACCCCACCCTTGCTCTCCAGCCTACTGCCTGCCACAGCCTGGACCCTAGGCAATCTTCATCGTTTGCTCCCATCTTCTAACCTTTGCTGTCTGCCTCAAATGCCATCTCTTTTCTATTCCATTTATATATCCAAAACCTTCCCATCCTTTTAAGGCCTAACTCAAACAACCTCCCTTTTGTGACACCTTTGCTGAGTAGAATAACCCATCGGAGAGCTTGTCCTTCAAACTCACTGTGCATTCTTCCACTCATTTGCCATGAGATCGTACCTTTAGATTATAGTTTACGCTGCTTCCTTTTTCGTTTGATGTCTATGTTTATTTACTGTCATTTCTGTGTCTTCTTCAATTAAATGATTCAGTCCTTGAAGAGGAGAACCAGGAGTGTTAAAATCATCCTTCCTTCATGCTGTGTCTTAGTCTCCTAGCGCTGCTGTAACAGAACTACAAGTGGGCAACTTTAAAGAACCGAAATTTTCTTTTTAACACAGTTCAGGCGCAGTCTGAATACAGAGTGTTGCTCTTTCTGTTGCTTCTGAAGGCATATTCTTGTCTCTTTCAGCTTCTTTAACCACACTGTTCCTCCATTCCTCAGTGGCATCTCGCTTTCTCCGTTTGTGCTTGCCTCTGTGTTGAATCTGCTGTCTTTATAACTTACGAGTGATTAGGTGTAGGACACTGTACACTGGCATGGCTTCCTTAGCTTAAGAGTAGAATTAGTTATGGCATGTGATAACATCGTCATATATTACATCCACAGATGCAGGGGTTAGGATTTCAACATACTTGTTGTATTATTGACAGGTTCCCAGGTTATGCTTGACTACAAACCTAAAAGTTGGTGGTTCAAATCCACCCAGAAACTCACATATTTATGGCCTACTTTGTTGTTTTTGGTGCCATTGAGACATTTAGATTCATCTGGTAATGTAGTTGTTACAAGTCAGCCTTCTAACCTCAAGGGTCAGCAGTTTGAAACTACCAGAGGTTCCATGAAAGAAAGATGAGACTTTATGCTTCCATAAAGATTTACAGCCTCAGAAACCCTATACAGGGTCACAGTGAGTCAGAACCATCTTCATGGAACATAACTACACCACCACTACCACAGGGACCCGACGTGACAGAGCAGAATGCCTCATACAGTTCTCTAGGCATAGTGATCTGCTTCCATAAAGATTAAGGTCAAGAAAACCCTATGGAGCAATTCTGCCTGTAACACATGAGGTCACCATGAGCTGGAATCCACTCACTGGACAGCAGCGGGTGATTCTTATTAACACATATTCCAACACATAGAGGGTATAAGATTCTAACACATATTACTGACGCACACTACCAGCAGTACAAGGTAGTTGCATAATGAGAATTTATAGAATGAACACATTTATATGTCTTTCTTGTAATTTGATGGGTGTGGCACTATATGATCAGCACTGAACTGCTAACCACAAGGTTGGTGGTTCAAATCTACCAGGCAGCACTTAGCAACAAACAACAAATCAGGATGAGGATTAAGGACTAAAGTTTGGGTGTGGTGGTGGTGGTTATGTACCATAGAGTCGGTGCTGACTCATAGCGACCCTGTATAGGGTTTCCGAGGCTGTAAATCTTTACGGGAACAGAAAGCCTCATCTTTCTCCTGCGGAACCGCTGGTCGTTTTGAACTGCTGACCATGAGATTAGCAGCCCATCTCGTAACCCTACACTACCAGAGGTCCTTAAGTTTGGGTGTAGAGGAGGAGGAATAATTTCAGAAAAGAAAGGAGGGATGTTGGGGAAAGGACTGAATGCTTCCAGGGAAACACGACCCAACAGAAGACACGTACGTTTGACGGGAGAGGTTTGAGTGATATGCTCAGCACTGCCCTTGACTCTTACCATAACTTTGAGCAAATCACTTAGCTCTCTCTGTGTCTGTCTCTTTAGCTATAAAGGAGAAATAATAATACTATACTTGCCAGAGACATTTTCAAAGGACTGCAATATCCTTGGCTGAATGGCACTGCACTGAGTGATGTTGGAATGATATGTTTTTAGCACTTTTAAAATAATGTGCTCTCAATGATGAAATTTTGGTCAGTGGTATAGTGAAATGTGAGCATTATTTCATCAATGTGGTTTGTAACTAAAGTCAGAACCCAGCTTGAGGACAAAGGTGAATGTGCAAATAAATGGTCTGTGGGTTGGTTGGCAGAGTCATGGGCTCGTAGAAGCAGGAGGAAAAAGTAGGCGTTCGCGGGGAGAAAACCTAGTATGTGCGGGACAGGTGATGGTCATCAATGCAGAAGGGTCACCTAGGGATTTTCACTGGCTTATAGTACCAAGGCCTGGCGTGCAAAGGATATGAAAGGGGCTGCTTGGGAGACACTGTTTCATTTACATCCTCTACATAAGAATTCAGGAGTCCTGGTGTGACACTCTGGGTTAATGCACCAGACTGCAAAGCTGTTTGAACTGCAAGGTCAGTGGTTCAAGCTCACCAGCTGCTCCTCAAAAACCCTATACAGGGTCGCTATGGGTCAGCATCAACTCAACCTCTATGGCACTTAACAACAACAACAACGTAAGAATTCAAGGAGCTCTGGTAGAGTTGAGGTTACAAATTGGGCTGCTGATCTCATGGTCAGCAGTTTGAAACTACCAGCTGTTTCTGCTGGAGAAAGATGAGGCTTTCTGCTCCCAAAAGATTTACAGCCTCAGAAATCCTGTACAGGGTCGCTATGAGTCAGAACTGACGCCACGGCACCTAACAACAACATAAGAATTCAGATCTCTCTCACTTAGGAGACTGCGTATTTTTTGGTTGGCTTTGACATGTTCACATTTTCAGTTTCTACAATATGCTTTCACCTCTGTTTTCCTGCCTCTCTTCCTATTTGCTTCTGCCTTGCTGCCTTGCTGGGAATGGGGGCCAGTGGTGGTTGAGTGGTAGAATTCTTGCCTTCTATGAGAAAGACCTGGGTTTGATTCCCTGCCACTGCACTCCATGCGCATTTGTTCCCTGTCTGCCTATGGAGGAAGTTTGTATTTTTGCTATGAAATTGAACAGGTTTCTACAGAGCTTCCAGATTAAAACAGACCAGGAAGAAAGGCCTGGCGATCTACTTCTGAAATCACTCAGTGCAAACCCTATGGATCACAACAGTCCAATTCCCATCTACCACTAATCATGAGGATTCATTCCCTCGTACATGGATGGGGTCGTCATTGGTCAGGAAATGCTATTTGATAGCTGCTAACAAGAGCAGCCTTGTTGGGAAAAGAATTTTGACCAGATGTTGCTAAAGACTTTCTAATAAGGACCCCACAAGCTGCCTGTGACATGCCCCCAGGAGGGGGACTCTAAAAGGGTCATCTCCTAGCAGCCTGGCTCTGCCTCCCTTGTCCCCTTTCTAATATTTAGGTTAATCACGGGTTCCTGGTCACCAAAATTTTACAACAGAACTCCTACCCAGGGCCCTTCATGCAGCAACAGTAATCAATGGGCATATGGTCACTAGTACAGAAAAGAGTCCTATGAAAGATAATTATCTTTGATTTTTGCCTGTCCCCAATATTATTTTACAAAACACATGGCTAAATCTGATATTTAAAAAAAAAAAACAACCCTCAGCTCCAACTCACAGGCAAATTCTGATTTTTTTTTTTTCCTCACATAACAGTAAAAATGTAAATACCTTCCGCTTCAATACCACTAGTTTGTATATTTGTGCTATTTTAGTTTTAGGGCAGGCAGTTAATTCTGAGATCCAGCAATATCCAAGGCTCCCTAATGTGTTGCAGAATTTACAGTCTTGAATTTGTTTGGTAGTCAGCTGGGACACACACAGAAAGGACAGACCAGACTGAAAAGCATACAAATTCAGTTTGCATGTTATTTGATAACTGCTTTCATCAGTGTCATCCTTTGCATCATATTTGATAACTGATTGTGTGGGTTTTACTGTTGAGTTTGTTCACTTAGATGTGTTCATGTGCATACAAAGGGCCTACTTTGTTGTTGTTAAGTGCCATTGAATGACCAGGTATGAAAAAGCAGAACTACCTCAGAGGGTTCTCTAAGCTATGATATTTACAGAAGCAGAACTCTAGGTCTTTCTCCTGTGGAGTAGATTTGAACCGCTGATCTCTCAGCACCACCAGAGCTCCTTGGGTTGTACTGATGGAATTTGACATTCAAGTTAAAGCAAATCCAATACAGATGTCTGAAAAGGAGCAGCTAGTGAGCCTGGAGGAGGAAAGGAAGACAGTGCTATTCCCATAGAGGTCAAGTGAAGAAAGGGTGTTAGGGAGGGAGGGAGTGGCTGATCAACTCTCTACTTACTTACCTGGCTTCTTCATAGATTGTCCGTTCTGGAGAGCAGAGACCATCTTATTAGTCTTTGTACTGCTGAGTCACATCCTAGCTAAGCTAGACTCAGTGTCAGCGCCAGAGTAACCCACTACCATCAAGACAATGCTGACTCACAGTGACCCTGTATAGTATTTCTGAGACCGTCACTTTTACGGGAGCAGATCAACCTCTTTTCTCCCATGGAGTAGCTGGTGGGTTTAAACTGACAACCTTGTGGTTATAGCAGCTCAATGTTTAACCAACCTGTGCCAACCATAGTGTGTGCTCAGTAGCTGGTGGGTGGATGGATGGACTGATGGGTGTTTATTTTCTGTATGTTTATGTGTGTAGCTATGTACAGCTTTTTGCTGTTATTAGTTGTCATCGAGTCACCTCTGACTCATGGTGACCTTTTATACAACAGAATGAAACACAGCCCAGTCCTGCACTGTGCCCATGATCGGCGGCATGTTTGAGTTCATTGTTGTGGTTATTGTGTCAATCCATTTCTTTGAGGGTTTCCTTCACTTTTGCTGACCCTCTAAATGGCCCACTATGTTATTCTTTTCTAGTGATTCTGGTTGTATTTCTAGTATATTTCACAGATACGTGTGTTGTCATGTTCCTGTCACTTTCAGTAATGTTGCTCAGCTCCTCAGTGTCAGGGATGCTATGTTTGGTCATCTGTTACCGTTTGTGATTCCCCACAGCACCCTGGAGGTTCCAAGCCCAGTTGTGACCTCAGCAACCTTGCGATGCTGCCTGACTCTTACCTTCTGTGTCTGTTGCTTCCTCCTTTTACACCAACAGCTTTACATCCAGCCCATGCTGGGGGCTGGCCTGAATTACGAGTGCTATCGGTTCGGCATCTCTCCTTCCTCGAACGCGTTGGTGATTGGTGCTACGGTGATGGAAGGCTTCTACGTCGTCTTTGACAGAGCTCGGAAGAGAGTGGGCTTCGCAGCGAGTCCCTGCGCAGGTGAGTGATTTCTGTCTCATACAGGAAGCTCTAACACATACACTGTAGGTAATCTACTAACTGGGAAGCAGTTCTGGAAGACAAATCAGTGCCATGAAATTGTCTTACTCATGCCCATCACCAATGACCAACGTCTTATGAGCAGATGGAATGAAGCTCCTAAACCCATGTTGTTATGATGTTGTTAGATGCCGTTGCATCAGCTCCAACTCAGTGCGACCCTCTGCATAGCAGAACGAAACACTGCCTTTCCTGCGCCATCCTCACAATTGTTATGTCTGAGCCCACTGTTGTGGGTATTGGACACATGCAAATACTCAGTACGCATTAGTCACTAGCATTCTGTCATATACAATTTAAAATTGCATTCCCATGCCAGGAATAAAAATCCTCAATAACACCTTAATGATAAATTATAGTCTTTTGACAACTAAAACAAAGAAAAATCACAGGCATGTAAACGCTGTCTATTTTTTCCAAGGAGCCCTGGTGGTGCAATGGTTAAGTGCTCAGCTTCTAATCAGAAAGGTAGATCTGTGGAAGAAAAGACCTGGACATCTGCTCCAATACAGTTTCAACCTGGGAACCCCTAGGAGGCAGTTCTAATCTGTCCTATAGAGTTGTTAAGAGCCAGAATCAACTCAACAGCATCCAACTGCAATATATTTTTTCCTCAAGGAAATCCTTACTTCATACTCATTATCTAATAAGAGGTAGACGCCTAGCATTGCTTTTTCTCAGTATTCTAAAATGATGAGACTAAGGAACCCATCTTTGTGGTAGTGTTTTCTCTCAGGGATGGTAGGCAGAATTGTATATATCTGAAACATCGCCTGAGAACTGGGTAGGATTTCAGAGAAGTGAGGGACTCTGGGAGTAAAGTTGATAGCATGGCTAAACACCTGGAGCTTGAAAACATCTTCAGATTGAACAGTTTGCTTGATGTGGAGAGCATTCCCACAGCACAGTGCTTACATGGGAGGATTAGGTGTTCATGGTTAATAGTCCAAGCCAGTGAGGAAGCAGCAGATCACAGCAGAGGGTTACATTGCATATGACAAGTGGAGGAAGATGATAGCTGTAGCATTTCAAGATAGGATTTCAGAGGGCCTGCATCAGTTTGGAGTCCTGGTGTGGCACTGTGGGCTAATGTGTCACACTGCAAAGTCATCTGAACTACAAGGTCAGTGGTTCAAGCTCACCAGCTGCTCCCTGGAAACCCTATATAGGTTTGCTGTGGGTCGGAATCGACTCGACAGCACTTAACAACAACATCAGTGTAGTACTCTGGACTCAAAGTCAGGAGCAGAATGAAGTAAAAAAGTTGTGCAGGTAGCTAAACAGTTGCTGTTGAGTCCACTCAGACTCATGGTGACCCCTTGTGTGCCAAGTAGAACTGTGCTTTACAGAGTTTTCAATGACTGACCTTTCAGAAGCAGATTCTGAGGCACTTCTGGATTAATTCAAGTTGCCAGACCTTTTGATTAGCAGGTGAACTTTTAACTGAGCCACTCAGAGACTCCTGGGTAGCATGCTAAGGGGGAGAAAAAATAACTGTGCAATAGAAAAAGAGCTAAGGACAGGAAAATTTAGGCCCAGGGTTAGGTGAATAAGCTCAGGTGTGGGATAGACTTGTCTCATTACTGAAAGATCCCTAAACCAAACACTCCTGCAGTTTTATGGGCCTTTGGGTGAGGAGGGGGAAAAGCAAGAGGACAGGGCTAGTGATGGAAAAGATAACAAGAAAATGTTAGAAGAGTTGCTGGATGACCAATGACAGTTAATGAGCTCAGCTGTTAGCCAAAAAGTTGGAAGTTTGAGTCCACCTAGAGTCATCTTGGAAGAAAAGCCCCACAATCCACTTCCAAAAACTCAGACATTGGAAGCCCTCTGGAACACAACTGTCCTCGGACACACATAAATCAGATGGACTCAATAGCTTGTTTTGTTTTTTTCAATGGGAATGAAGGAAAAGAAATATGAACTTGATGGGAATGAAGCTTTGCACATTAGATATACTTGAAGGACAGACAGGAACACTGTCCTGTTGCTCCTGATAAGTTACCAGACTGGCACGCTGATCAAGTCACCTGAAGAGTTTGGAAGAATGCCGCAGAGATTAAGGCCTGTAGGCAAAATGCCGTATGATCAAAGGCGACAAATGCAGGGAGGGAGAGATGTCAGTTATTGTTTTCAATACCTCAATCATGGTCTTGAATTGGAAATCCAGGTCAATGAAACAAGTAATTGATTCTTCAACATGCTGTTTCAAAACACTGCTGTTCCTGAAAAATACAGTAACCATTTAGAGAATGGGAGAAGAGAGACCTAGATAAAAGGAAAAAAATGCATTTAGGATCGGTGGCTGATTCACTCTTTTAAAGAGAATCCCCAATCTAGAGTGCATAATTTGATATATTGTAATATATCTTCTGGTATCCTGGTATGGCACTGTAGGATAAGCACCAGACTTTTAACCACAGGGTCAGAGGTTCAAACCCACTGGCTGCATCTGGGAAACCCTAATCAGGGTTGCTATGAGTTGGAACCAATTCAACAGCATTTAACAACAACAACAATCTATCTTCTTAAATATCAACTACACACCTGCTTGACTTTATATTAATGGACCTTTGAGGTTTATCGTTTTAGATCTTTAGTCAAAACCAGTTGCCAGTGAGTTAATTCTAACTCATGACAAGGTTTTCCTTTTTCAGAAGTAGATTTGCCAGGCCTTTCTTCTGAGGTGTCTTGGTGGACTTGAACTGCCAACCTTTTGGTTAGCAGCCAAGTGCTTAACCATTTTGCACCTCCCATAAATTCCCATTTCATATCTTAACGAGTCGATGATAATCTCTTTTCCCCTCACTTTTTATTGTGAGTTGAGTGAAAGTTTACAGAGTAGCTCATGTGTTAACAGTCAACAAATCGTATACTTTAATTTCAGTGATTGTAATCCTTTCAAGGAGTTCTAGTGTGGCACTGTGGGTTAATGCGCTGGCCTGCAAAGTTGATTTGAACCGCAAGGTTGGCAGCTCAAGCTCATCAGCTGCTCCTCAGAAACCCTGTACAGTGTTGCTATGGGTTGGAACCAACTCGATGGCACTTAACAACAACAATCTCTTCAATGTAACATCACCTATCTCACTTCCTTCCTGTGTTTCCTGTTTCCATCCCTTCTCCTTTTCCACACCTGTCTGAACTTTGGTCAGACAGGTGTGGAAATGCTGCCTTTTTGGTCATGAATAGTTGACCATCAATGAGTATCTTTTGGAAGTGCATTAATGCTTCCTCTTAGTCAGGTTATCCTTGAATGAGCCCCTTCTCTGTTGTTCTAAAGGTACTGGCCGAAACAATACTATATTCCCCCACTGTGAATATTTCCCTTCTTTTTAACACACAGAATCTAAGAACTAAGGCAATTCTGCCTACAGTTTCTGTTCTCTTGTTAAAGTAACAGTAAAGTTGAGGCTACTATGGCAACAGCTGTTATATTGTCCACTTTACTTAATACTAAAAGAGCATAATAACTGCATGTTTTCTAACGGAACTGCTCTTGGAGATGTCGTAGTTTCATATTAAGCACGTTCAGGCAGGGCAGCCTTTTGTACTGCGTTTCACTGTCAAATCTTTGTTAAGTCTCTTGTACAAGTTTTTTGTTACTATTTTTTATTTTTTAAATAGATGTAAGGCTTTAGAAGTTAAACACTTGATTTTACCATCTGTGGGAATATACACTGATGTATACTTCCCCTTCAGTACAAATTGTGTAGTCATTAAATTAATTACTCTCAGGGCTGCAATTAAAGAAACTAGTGCCTTGTGGTGGTAGTGGTTGGTTATGTGCCGCGGAGTCAGTTCAGGGTTTCTGAGGCTGTAAATCTTTACAGGAGCAAAAAGCCTCATCTTTCTCCCATGGAAGAGCTGGTAGTTTCGAACTGCTGACCGAGCTTAGCAGCCCGATTCATAACCACTACACTACTAGGGCTCTATGTTGTTGTTGTTGTTAAGTGCCATCGAGTCGGTTCCGACCCATAGAGACCCTGTATAGGGTTTCCGAGGAGCAGCTGGTGAGCTTGAACCACCAACCTTGCAGTTCAAACGGCTTTGCAGTCTGACGCATTAACCTGCAGCGCCACACCTAGACTCCAGTGCTCTATGTAGTTGTTATGTGCCGTGGAGTCGGTTCCGACTCATAGCGACCCTGTACAGGGTTTCCGAGGCTGTAAATCTTTATGGGAGCAGAAAGCCTAATCTTTCTCCCACGGAACAGCTGGTAGTTTCGAACTGTTAACCATGAGATTAGCAGCCCATTTCGTAACCACTACATGTAAATGTACAAACTCCATGGCATTTGGGATACAAGCACTGCTACCTTTGTTTCTAAAATACTATTACAGTAGGTTTCTATTTTTAACATGTTGTTGTTGAGTTCAGATGCATAGAGACCCTGCATGGGGTTTCTGAGGAGCGGCTGGTGAGTTCAAACTGGCCTTGCCGTCAATGCTTTATCCTACAGCGCCACATGTGAAAAACCTGACATCGGCTTGTTGTTGTTAGGTGCCATCGAGTTGGTACCGACTCACAGTAACCTTCTACACAGCAGGACATCAGGTTGTTGTTGTTAAGTGCCATCGAGTCGGTTCCGACCCATAGCGACCCTGTACAGGGTTTCTGAGGCTATAAATCTTTATGGGAGCAGAGAGTATCATCTTTCTCCCACAGAACAGCTGGTGGTGCTGTGGGTTAATGTGCCAGACTGCAAAGCCGTTTGAACTGTAAGGTCGGTGGTTCAGGCTCACCAGCTGCTCCTCGGAAACCCTGTACAGGGTCGCTATGGGTTGGAATCGACTTGATGGCACTTAACAACAACAACACACTTCCAGTGTTCTATACCCCTTGATAAATGGATTGTTGTCATTGCTAAGTGTCCTAGAGTAGGTTCCAACTCAGAGAAATCCTGTATAGGGTTTCTGAGAACTGACTGGTGAATTTGAACC